GAACGGTTTCGGAACCACTCAACTGTCAATATTTCCGAAACAATTGAAGATAGGTATACAGAGTGGAAAATTGAAAAGGATCCACCTGGATTTTCTTGAAAATTATCGGGAAATTAAAAAAACGCCGAAACACGTCGATTTTGTTTGCAAGGGGGACACTTTTTGGCTATTTAAAAAATTTCCTAGATTGCACCCCTTTACCGGGGTGAGTTGCACCCTAAAATCTTGAATAGGGAAACTGGATCGAGTGGTACCTTGTTTGAGAGGTATTTGAGATGACTTTACAGATCTGTAATTTATTTCGAAATCTGACTTCTAGTTTTCAAGATATTCGCCTCGGAAGTTGCCATGGGGCGAAAAGAGAGGGAAGGTGCTTTTCGTACATTTCTACAAAAAAAAAATTGAAATTACTGAAACACGTCATTTTTGTTTATTTTGAACCTTTATAGTTTCTTTGTTAGTTTGAACCTTTTGAACAACCTTTCAAACATGGCCCACTTTTCATGTTTTCACGAAAAACACGTTCTCGATATCTGTTCGCCCCATGGCAACTTCCGAGGCAAATATCTTGAAAACTAGAAGTCAGATTTCGAAATAAATCACAGATCTGTAAAGTCATCTCAAATACCTCTTGAACAAGGTACCAGTCGACCCAGTTTCCCTATTCAACTTTTGAGGGTGCAACTCACCCCGGTAAGGGGGTGCAATCTAAGAAAATTTTCAAATAGCCAAAAAGTGTCCCCCTTGCAAACAAAATCGACGTGTTTCGGCGTTTTTTTTTTAATTTCCTGATAATTTTCGAGAAAATCCAGGTGGATCCTTTTTAATTTTCCACTCTGTATACCTATCTTCAATTGTATACCTATCTTCAATTGTTTCGGAAATATTGACAGTTGAAAATTGATTTTTTTGCAACTTCGATAGGCTGTAAAACCTGAATGGTTAATTTTAGAGGAAAACCGATTTTAGATTCCTATCTTAGATTTTCATAAACTATCATTTGACACAAACTTTGAATTCACCCAGAGATTAAATTTAACCGGAATTTTTAATCACGGATTAACTTCAAAGTTGGTGTCAAATGATCGATTTTGAAAATCTAAGATAGGAATGTGAAATCGGTTTTCCTCTAAAATTTACCGTTTAGGTTTTACAGCGTGTCAAAGTTGCAAAAAGTCAATTTTCAACTGTCAATGTTTTCGAAACAGTTGAAGATAAGTATATAACTTTGTATATGAAATATGTCTATAATTTTCCACAGAATCCATAAATGTCATAATATACAGGGTGATCCATTTGAAAAAAACAAAGTTGATAGCAGCGGATCTATTTTTGATGATAAAAAATATATCAAAAAATTTCAAACAAAAAACAAAATTGACGTGTCTGAGCGATTTTTCAAAAATTCTACCGTGTTCAAAATAATGAATTTATCCGTTACTTTACGGACACAGTGTATAGTAAAGTGTAATGCAAATGCATTTGAAGGAATTTTGTTTCTCATTTTTCTTTCAACAAACGTTTTTTTTTCCCCAGTTCAACTTATTTTCAAAGGTGGCGTCCCTATATGCCAGGTACATCGTCTGATCTAAAATTGAAACCTTTCCCAGACCTCCAGCCGCCACTGCTCTAAACCCCCCCCCCCCCCCATGAAAAAGCTATAGCTACGTACTTGCACTCTGTATACGAATTTCGGATTCTACGCATACATTTTACATTTTGCGCAGAATCCTGACGGTGAAATGTACGGTTCCCTGCTGGGTTGAAACAAAGCTATTGATTCCTAGCCTAGGTTTCCTGCCTCGTTTCCCGGTTTTGAAGTGAAAACTTCTTTAGAATCGTTGGGAGTGATTTGAGACTCGATGAAACGAAAAAGCGACACTTTTTTAACACGTTTATATTAACACACAACACACAACAAAAACCTGGAACAAGCCAAGTGAGTTGGAACAAGTCTGGAAAATGTCTGTATAAATCTGGATGAAGTCTGGAAATCTCTGGAAACGTCTGGAAAGAGCCTGGAAATTTCTGGACAGTGTCGGAAAAATTCTGCCAAAGGTCCCAAAAGACCTGGGGATCATTTTCCGGAAGCCGGATCAGTCTGTACAAGTCTGGATAAGGTCTGGATAAATCTGGATAAAGTCTGTAAAACTCTGGATGAGTCTGGATATTGTCTGAAAAAGTCGGAAAATCTCTGGAAACGTCTGGTAAAGACTTGGAAATTTCTGGAAAGGGTTGGAAAAATTCTGAAAAAGGTCCCAAAAGACCTGGGGATCATTTTCCAGAATCCGGATCAGTCTGAACAAGTCTGGATAAAGTCTGAATTGATCTGGATGAAGTCTGGAAAACTCTGGATAAGTCTGGATAATGTCTGGAAATCTCTGGAAACGTCTGGAGAAGGCCTGGAAATTTCTTGATCGGGTCGGAAAAATTCTGGAAAAGGTCCCAAAAGACCTGGAGATCATTTTCCAGAATCCGGATCAGTCTGTAATAGTCTGGATGAATCTGGATGAAATCTGGAAAACTCTGGAAAGCTCTGAATAAGTCTGGATAATGTCTGAAAATCTGTGGGGCTGACACGCTTTAATAATACATTGTAATAAAAAGTGAAAAATAAATATAGTTTAAAAAATCTAAAAAACACGCTTTTATAGTAATTTGAACTAAAAAGTGAAAAATAATTTCTAATATAAACAGAAAATATTAATGAACAAAAAATATTAGAATTATTGTGTGAAGCGTGAGGTGCTCAATGTACGAGAAATGTGGAACAAAGCACCCCACGCTTTTTTGACAATAATTCTAATATTTTTTGTTCATTAATATTTTCGGTTTATATTAAAAATTATTTTTCACTTTTTAGTTCAATTTACTATAAAAGCGTGTTTTTTAGTGAATCACACACACACACTGTGAATCATGAATATTTAACCAGAATAAATGTTAACAAGGAATTAGCTATTCCAAGATGTCATAATAGTTTTCTAAGAAATCTCTTAAATATTCAGGACCTAAAATCTACAATTTATTACCAAACGATATTAAAGGGGTGGACATCAAACATCAAAGTTTTTCCTAATTAAGCAAAATGATTTATAGTTGAACGAATGACAGGGTTGCCAGACGTCCCACCTTAGGAGGGAGAGTCCCGCATTTTGTTAATCGGTCCCGCCTTATTCTTATCAATTTCAGGTCCCGCTTTTCACGTGAATTGTCCCGGTTTTCCCGCTTTTTCCACCCAATCTTCACATTTGGTTCAGAAAACACGCTCATTTTATAACTTGTTACATAAATAGCTAAAATTTCTACATTTTAAATCGACGCAAAATCAAATAACGAGCCTGAATGGCAAGCATTTCATCGAGGTCTGCAGGTGACGTCACCACTATCAGCTGCTGACGTGGTGACGTCACTCGCAGACCTTGTGGACTCGAGGACCGGCCAACGTACGCTATCTCAGGATGAGCAATCCTGTTAGTTTACGATTCTTGGGTTTTAATAATAGGCCTGTTCGCACAGCAATCACAAACCAGTCAGAGCAAATTTCATTGGTTGAAAACAATCAGAAACAGTCAGAAAACTATTTTCAACCAATGAGATTCACTCTGACTGGTTTGTGATTGTTCTGCGAACAGGCCTAATAAATGTTGTATTTTGTAGGTATAAAAATGACAAAAACTCAAACTGAAGATGTTGTATAAATAATGATGTTTTCTGTTGTTTTTTCGTGAAGCGTTTATTTTGTTATTCTAATAAAGATTTTTTTTTTTTTTGATCGAGTTTTGGTTGAATTCTTAACAAAATTTAGACGTGACTGCAAAAAATTTGTTGTGTTTTTGCTCAAGGGAGTTCATAGAGGGCGACACATTGGGCACTTGCCTCTCCCCCCCCCTTATGCTTTTGGGCGTGACACCCGACAAAAAACTAAAAAAGGCGACTTTTCCCTTTGATGAAAACAGTCCCGCTTTTTCATTTCATAGATCTGGCAACCCTGACGAATGAGTGCATTTGTTAAGGTACCTACTGCAAGAAAGTATTGTTTGATGCTTACCATTGTCAGATAGGGATTTGAAAAAAGATAAATAAAAATCAAGTTCAGAAACCACTTTTCTGCGATTCCTTCTGCAGCGAAGTCGATGAAACTACCAAGCATAATATAGTCTGCGAATGTAACGCTCTCGTCACTCGTAGACTACGATACCTCGGGTGCAGTTTCCTGGAACCTGATGAAATAAAGCATGTCGGGCCTGAGCGGGTCTGCACCTTTCTTAAAAGTTGCGGGCTCCTATGATAAGACAGGGCTGCACCAAGAGGGGGATAGCACAATGGACCACATGCGCATCTACGTGCTGCCTGTAAAGGTTCTCCTTTCAAATCAATCAATCAAGCCTTCTTAAAAGCGCAAGCCTAAATTGCCTTGTGTCTTCATTGAAGGCAATTAGCTGATACACTTTTTAGCTCGCTTTTTAGGTTTTTATTTGGTTTAGGCAATTTTTTTTTTAAGATAGCAACAAACTCCCTCAATCCGAGATTTGAGGTGTTTATTTCACGTCACTAAAAAATTAATTCTCTACAACATATCAAAAAGTGGGCAAAATCCATAAAGCCCAAAAATCCCATGTTAGGTGTGCGTTATCCTTTGGAGGATTGGATAAAGTACTCCGATCCGGATAAACTCTCTAATCCTGAGTATTTATTTCAGCATTATTAATTCAATCCACTTAGTATCCGGATACAACGTGTGAAATAAACGTATAGTGACTATCTACTTACCTATATATTTGTGGCACATGAAAAAATCTCTATTTAGCCAATAACCAAAAAAAATAAATAAATAAAATAATGAGGAAAACCATAAATGAGCGTGGCTGTCATTTTAGCAAACTTAGTACTGATATGAGTCACTCACTGTAAGATTAGTTTGGATAGATGCTTAGTAAGGATATTTTGGAGAAACTAGGTGTGTTCGAAGAACATATTGCAAAATAAAAGACACAATATACTGAGTTTTGAAAGAGTTTTATTACTATGGGAATGACAAAATCACAAACAAAAGGGGTATAGACATGTTTATTAAGAATATTCATACACAAAAGTCGATAAACTCACATGATCAAATATTATAAGTATGTAAGATGAAAATTGAAAATGAAAAAGATAAAAAATGAGCCATTAAAATAGGTAGGTACATTCATTCATTGATCAACTAAAATTGTAGGTAAATCCTCAACCTGGCATTCATTTTGTTAAACTAGCTATTTGGTTAGTGATAACATAATTATAATTACACAAATCAAAACATAATCTATAATACCTATATAAGTATGTACCTATGTACATACATTTTTTTTGTACAAATTGATCCTTTGGTGTTTCCAGCTATCACAAAATTACAATTTAACAGTAAAATAATTCCAAATGCATTTTATTTTAGTTTTAGGGTAAATTGAGTTGGCCCATATGATGTAACTATTATAAATTATAAATTCATCCTAAAATCTATCTTGCCATATAATGACTACTTAACACAGCCTTCAGGCAACAAATCCATATTTTTGATATTAATTATAATTTTTTAAGCAAATACATTCGATATTTTACAAAATTTACAATTAGTTCGAGATCAAAATAATTATTATACAAGTTGCATTTTTTTAAACAAGCTTATTATTTTCACGCTTTACGTTGCTTTATTACTACAATCTTGAACACAAACAAAGCGAAGTGTTTTCCAGTAATTTCTAATAACAATTGAACGTTTAATTCGAAAGAAAAACTATTTAAAGAACGTCGACGAAAAAACACAAATTGGCGGTGTGGCAAAATGACGTTAAATTAGTAAAAACTGAAACGAGCTGCTAGCAGCAAAAACTAGGGAGCCGCATTTTTAATAACTGCTGTTGCCGCATGTACCCGATTTAATGCATGTATTCTCGCTGGCATGCCTACATTAAATGGCGAATAATGCTCTCTTGCAAGCATGCATTTCTCTAAAAAAGCTTGTTGCAACAGGAACACAAGTTCGCCTTCTTTGCCCAAGCATGTCCCGAACACGTTCAATTGGGTTCGCATCTCGAATTTACGCTGGCCACTCTATTACAAAAATGTTTACACATCGGCATCGTCTTTTAGTACAATCGCGTGATTCTCGCGGTGTGAGGTCTGACCTGAAGGAGAACGTCATCTCCAATGAAAACAACATAATCTTGGAGAATTTCATCAATGTACCTGGCAGCAGTTAAATAGCCTCTTGGAATGAGGTATAATTTTGTGAGTGCCTCCAGAAAAATTCCAGCCCACGCAATAACTGAGCTCCCTTGGTAGCCTACTCTAGGTAAAGGTACCTACTAGGACGGTACTCTCTCACGACCTTCTTATCGGTAAACAAAATGCCATTCTTTTTCACCCCAGGGCTCATGATTTCTGGCAAAATGAAATCGCGTAGGTCTACGACTGGTGAGACTGGCTTCTCCAAGTTCTGTCTTACTGTCCATTCACTAATTATTGGCATTGGGGACGTGATGAAGTCCTGATTTCTACAGCAGTAGCACGTACATAGAACAACGATTTCGCAGACTGTATGATGGTAAAGCGATGATGATCGAACATTGTTTTTTTGTGGGGTACCAGTTCCATGTGGTCTGGTGTAAGCTCTAGTTTCCGTAGAACGTGTAAAAATACGGTACAGTGTATGTGATAATTGTCTAAGAACATATCGCTCACAATCAAAGCAACAATAACAGGCGCTGTTTCGGGATTAACAGCCATAACTTTTAGATAAAAAACATGTTGCACAACTTAAAAAAACTTGTTTCGACTTGACAAATTTCTCAAATCAATAAAAACAGAAAACCCTATTGCCAACCGCACTTTTGAGCGCTAAGATCTATACAATTTTCGTGAATTTGTGTTCGAAAACTTTTTTTCCAAATAATGGTTCAATTGCTTTTAAAAATTAATTAAAACATGTTGTTTTATTATTTGTGTTTAGGACATCAGAAAGCGTTAACATTATAAATTTGTTCTACAAACTGCCACTGCTCCGTTTTTTGTGCTTGTGAGAATATGTGATATTTTACTATTTGGGTCTTTTAAATTAGCTTCGAGAAAGTTCAATTTTTGTCTAAGACACACAACATAGAAAAATATCCAGCTGGGCGTAAGCAGAATTCAAACAGCTACAATTTTGCTAGGATCAACTTTAACCCTAATAAACATAATATCCTCCTTCATAAAATGCCTCTTCTTAATCATTTCGTGAGAAACAAATTTGGGAAAGCCAAATCCCAAAGAGTCAGGTTCTTTGCTGGGCCTCTGAAAGTTTTTCCAAGTTGGGTCCGGAATGAAGCTTTCAATAATATTACACGCTTTTTCTGGGCAATTCGACTGATCGAAAAGGGTGAAGGAAACTGAATGGGCGAATGGCCATCTCAATAAAGCGTCATATTCACCTGGCAGGATTTTTATGTAGACGGATATGTGACTGTCTTCTCCTGCTCCATTGCCATTTGGGAACAGGGAAGCCTGGAATATATTTTAAAAAATTATTAATAATTATCGCTAATTTGAAAAAAAAATAATTGTGCTGTTTTTGATGTCAATGCAAACCATCAGATAGTCAGATACATTTTCAACGTTGAATTTTTGAAAGTTTATTTCCTATAAGTTTTTGTTGGTGTGTTTGAAAGAAAAGTGACAAGTAAACCCATTTCTGAATCTGAATGTGACTTTTTACCCAATCAAGACTGTCTGTTGAAATTTGGTCAGAAAAATTGGTGAGAATTTAATAAAACCAGAAGGAGCTTTTGAATTGAACAAGAAATTAACTTAAACCTACCTGAAGCTTATATCCATATTGGCTAGTATAAAACGCAGGAGACACCAACTCCATTCCTTCTTTAGTCTTGGCTTCAGCAATTTTCGCAGAAAAATCACTGATTTTCCAGATTAGAGTCCCAGAATAATTCAAAGATAGTCTAGAGAGGGCATTTTTGAGTGAAGTAATCTGATGTTGCTGTTTGGATACCACAGTGCACATCAACTGCAAATGTTGCTGACAATTTTCTTCCAAATGCTTTTCCATGATGTATTTAGGGCCTTTAAATCTGCATCCAGCTTCTTTGAACGAACAACTGTGAACGGAAATAGTACAATCTTCTTTGAGATGAGTTTCTAATTCTTCTCGAGCCAAAACGTTGACTTCACAACGATTGGGGCAATGTATAGGTACCCTTCCACATTTAACGTGGTGAGCAGCTAAGGTATCAGCTACAAACTCTTTGGTACAATATCTACATGGAAGAAGGCGTTTTACGCAGTCGGAAACCTTGTGCTGGCTTAAGTGGCGCCTTTGAATTTTGACTCCGCACTTGTTCTCACAATAAAGTGGTTCATATCCGCACGATCCTGCGTGATTCTGAAAACAATAAATAAAAGATTATGGACAGTAATAAATATTGTTATACGTCATCAACAATCAATTATCGTTTTTTTGAAAGAATGTAAAAATGTGGAACAATAGTTTGGGTTTTATGGCCATTTCCACCAACCATTTTGTCAGAGTCCAAATAAATATTCTATATCATCTAAAGCAATATTTCCATTAGGACCATTAGGTCTTTTGAGTAAGAGTAATCGATGCATTACAACATTGCCCGTAGAAGAAGACCATATCACTAGCCCTGATTAAAATTTTAATGAATTTTAATGATATAAACAATTAATGCCTTTTAATAATAATGAACTGAAGTTAAGTTACCTTACCTAGTTATATCGATAACCAAACTCGGACCACGTAAAGATTAATACAAGATACAAATTAGAAAAGTGATGCCTCACTGACAATTCAATGCAAACAAGGGTTTGATATGAATCTATATACTCACTTCTAAAGCATGGCCGGAGAATTCTTTATTGCAAAACTCGCACCTCGTTCTTCTTTGTGGACAAGTGTACTTCAGGTGGTCTTCCATAATTACCCTGGGTATTTGGGCCCCACATTTGCTTGTGCATGGTATGGTGTCATGTTTACAGGTATTCAGGTGGGCCTGAAAGGAAAAAAAAAGGATTTCAATAAATATAATCGGCTTGATTCCTTTGATCATTGAGTGGGCAATTAATTTTTCACTGACAGCTTTTGCAATGATTTTAGATTTTCGCAAGGTTAGCTGTAGAATATTAACCTTTAACTTCCTTAATTCGTCCGACCATTTACAGCCTTCTTTGTGATGAATACAGTAGACCACTGAGCTCATAATCGCTTTTTCTGATTCAGGATCAGAATAGATCTGAAACAAACAAATAAATCTACTGAGTAAAATAATAAATTGCCATTCCTATACGGTTTATTTTAGAATGTTGCAAATTTAACGAATATCACGTTTCAATCAATCATAATTTTATGTACCTATATTGCATTATTCTGTGTGAGCAATTGTTGTTTGAAACGCCTAAATACCCATTGCCGCAACATTTTAATGGTTAAGGGCGGGTATTATAAAACTATTTTGACAGATAACTAAAAGTTAACTATGAGAAGTATCGTCATTCCACAAGTTAACTTTTAGTTATTCTGTCAAAATAGTTTTATAATACCCGCCCTAGGTCAATTTTATATGCACAGAAACCACAGCTACATAATTCCTAAAATACTAGGATTTATTGTTCAGTATAGGTAGGCACCTACCTAATAATGGTCCGTTTTCAATGATTTATCCCCTATCGCATTATAAAATATTTCTTATTGTTATTTCTTGCCTGAATAGAAATAGTAAACTGACTGATCAAATCTCAGGAATATTGTGTTTCACTTTTCAATTATCGTTCTGTCGCTTTCCCGGTAGTCGATGTCATTGTAAGCCTGTCATTAGTATTCAGAAGCTGTATAAAATGTCTAACACGTTTATTTCTGGTACATGAATCACTTTGGAATCAAGATAGTTATTAATCATGCCTCGCCTTTTTTTTATATTTTCATGGGAATTTTTTTTTTTCTTCTATACTTTGGAGAATTTTTAATTATTTCCAGATTGTTAAGTGTTATTCTCTTCATAATTTAATTCTTGAGGCCCCTACTCACAGCCTCTGCGCAAAATATAAGCAAACATACCTACTTCGAAATAAAACCAATACAAAAATGTTTTTGTGGAAAACAACATAATTAGTATATTAAACGTTCATCAAAGTATTTCACGAATTTGGAATACTGGGAGTCATTTTTTTATTTCTGTTATATTCGAATTCAATTCCGGTACAAAGTATGGATTTGGAAAATGTTATTGTTTGACACCAAGTCAAAATCTGGCAACTTCCGGTTTTCTCGGAAGTGACTATGGCCTTTATGGCTTTATAAATCTTAATAACAACCTTGTATTTTTTTGATATTTTTGGTATCCATTCTCATTCTGTATATGACAATGTAAAATTTGAATCTGTTTGACAAAATTAATTTTTGATGAAGACTGCTAGTTTCTGCTTGAAACTGTGTATTTTGGTTCACATAGCTGTAGAAAATGCAAATGCGTCGTTTTCAGTTATCATTTGTCTATTAAATGATTCCAAAGTTGGTAAAATCGTATTTTATGTGGCCTGATGGAATTAAATCAAACAACCCAACTTTCACATCTTCAATTATATTGATAACTTGTTTCGAAAAAAAGTCAACGATGCATTGCAACTTTCTAATGATAGATACCTATGCGTTTATAAATTATAATAAATTTTCTTTAACGAAAATGACGGAAAATATCCGCAAAGCCCGGTATTGAGAAAGGCAAGAAGGTGGAAAATTTTTACCAAACAATCCATGGACAGACAATTTTTTTGTGCGTTTATTTTATTCAGTATCTGTGAGTTGCAGGGCATTATTTGTGTATTATCATTATTGACATTTTTACTATTCGCACCTTTCATTAGTGGAATAGCAGCCAGGTATCGTGAAGTAGGACATGTGAGGGATGTTCCAAGAAAATGGCTTTGAATCCGGCCAAAGGGGGTTTAGCTTTAGACGGGGGTCATCTTATCATTTCCAATTAAACCAAACATGAGACTCTATTAGAGGAATAAGTCGTGGTGAACCCCGTTTTTTCCTCGACAGGCTTCTTGGCCTATATTTGTTCAATGTCCATGTAAATATGCATATTATGCCTATAAATTTTTGTTTACATTGCCGGCAGATTGCATTTTACAATGGTTTATTGTAGATCGTCGGGAGATAATTGCAAAGGATAAACTTTAATGAAAAAAGTTTACCTAATCTAAATACCAAGAGATTGCCCAATTAAGTAATTATTGTTTAATATTACTCATCCCAAATGATTTTATCAATTTTTTTTGTAAAAATCTCATAATAGGGTCAAAGAAAAGAAAAAGAATCACTAATTGTTTTGATTCCATACATTTTTCGATTTTCTAAAATTAGATTTCTGGAAAAATGTGTTCCATATACACCTGATTTTTCTGAAGAGAATTCAAAAGCTTTTGTCCCCTTTCATTAGTAGGTCTGAGTCAATATATGGTCCGGCTTTGTTCTGCCTACTTTGGCATTAAAATCGATCGAAATTCGATCAATTATTCACCTGTAGTTTAATAATAATTATTATAATTTCACGGGAATCGCAGGCGTAGGACGGTACTTAAAATGTAGATATCTAATAATTCTTAAATCAAGGATTTTATGCACCCACTATCAAGGCAATTTATAATTGCGTTTACAAAGTCATAATAATAATGTTACGCTGATAATTATAAACATAATAAACCGTGTCGGTCGCTTTTGAATTAAGTCTGTTGGTCAGTTCAATCTTTAAAAATAAACAATTATTCTTATATAAAAAGGATTAATTACTGTCTTCGGAAAGATTACAAACTTGAATGAATAATGAATTAGCAAGTATAGTAGAGAAGCGAGATATTGAAATCAACATCCGGTCTAAATTTATTTTATATTATCGGTAGTGGTCTGACCACAAAAATTAAATTTATGAAAAAACTATCTGGTAGGTAATATTTAACTTCTTCTTGTCGTTTTCCAATATTCCCCCTCTGTTAACACTTCTACCATTCAGGTTCAGTAACAGGGGCATCGCGTCGAGGGGGATCCTTATTCTTGAAACAGGGGAGCAACGTTCCCAGGAGAACGAGTGTTCCGTCTTTCTCAATGACATGCAAATGATAATATAATTGACAAAAACGGAACACACGTTCTCCTGGGAATGCTGCTCCCCTTTTTCAAGAATAAGGACCCAGGATCAAATAATCAAAAGAAAAATCACGATACCCAAGACAAAATATTTTTTTTTTCTGTTATTTTTCTCACAAACGAAATAATTGTTTTTGAAAAGTGAATGATCTTGAAATTTGCAAAAAATTAAGCCTGCGGCGCGTTTGCGGGGAAGCGCCCCCTGACGTACCATTTACCCCCTACCAAACTGCTTGTCACGCGTCGCCACTGGTAAGTAATTTGCAATAATTTTTGTGAAACTTTTGAGAAAATAAATATTCAGTAGATACTATCTATCAACGAATGTGAATAATTCAAAAACAGCAAAATTAGCCTATTCAATTAGGAAATCTAGGACAAGTTTAATTTTAAATGTAATTTAAACTATGATTTATGGCACTCGCCTAATTGATTAACTTAATATGAAGTAATTATTCATCTGACGTCATATTTTTCAACAATGTGTTTTTTTTGCAAAATATACCTTTCAACTGTTTAACACCCCAATTTTTAGTTTGTAATGGATAAATTGTAAATGTGAGTACGATACCTCCTGAAGTAGGTATATAATGAATTTTCCAAATAAGGACGATTTATTGAAAATTTGAACAAAACAATCCAAAGAATGCATCAACTTCATAAATTCCAAGACCACAAAGCAAATCAAGCATTTCCTAGTACCTATATCGAATTTACACAATGTTCTATCATCAACATGCCATTGATTTTATGTTAAAAAAAGGGTACATTATTAAAAAGGAATTTAAAAACACAACACAGCCCGTTTTCAAAGCTCCAAATTTCTCAGAATCTGCGTACAAAGGGGATACTGTTTAAAAATGCCCATATGTATTAAGGCCGACTTGAGCCATAAAAGCTTTTGTGGGATTCCAGTTATTGACTTTATGATAAAATGTTGATGATAACGAGTTGATGGTTTTTGAGGTCTCAATTCGATGCGTGGAACTAATTTTAGTGACCTAGTCACATGTCTCATGTATGAACTATGTTACGTATTTTTGGGAATTTAAAATTAATCTTGCCTTAAGAAAGATGAAATTGAATTAAATCGTCCCATTCATTGTCAACAATAATTGAAATGGTCTAAAGCGGACGATGCTAAAGCACTTAAGCCCATTAAATCAAAAAGGTAGCCAAACAAAACGGAACCCATTTGAAAAACCTCCAGAGGCATTCAATTATTATTTCAGATGGTAATTTATGACCATAAACGTGTCTTTTATTTGCTTTTGGTCCGTAGGTAAACCAATTCGTCACAACTTACAATAAGGAAATAAACTGTAAATTTTATTATCTGTAACAGTTCTTCAACCGTCCAAAAAGTGCCAAAAGATTGCATTGTAGTGGGTATATATAATTTTTTTTTCTAGTACCTATTATAAATTAATCAGTTTCATACAAACTTGAACCCCTCACGTCACTCCTCGGCCATTTCACGAAGTGATTAGCCTATTTAAAACTACTTCGCTTTTGTTACCATTTTTGCTCATAATGGGCCGGATAGGAGCACAAATCTTACACATTTTTTGCTCATCAGTAATGAATGGATTATGGATTATCATTAAAGTATAGTGCTATTTAAAGATAACTACTTGACTCATATTCTGTAAACAAACTAATTAGTAGGTACCTACCTATATAGTTAAATTTTGTCTTATCTATCAACTATGTACCTACTGAATATTAAAGGAAAATTTTGAGTTATTTAGTTAAAACCAAGGTTATAACTTTAGTTAAGTGTTTGGTTTCTAGAGGGATTAGCCTTATCATAAGAAAATATAAGAAATTTGCGCAGGTATCTTTAAATAAGCTATAAGTTGATTAAATAATTGCTCATGTCTGATCCAAATCAAAATGTGCAAAATAAGTTCAAAAACGAAAACATAAAGGTAATTCAGTGGAATAGGTAATTATAATTATCACCTAGACTTTGACCTGTTTGAACAAGTCAAAGACTGAAGACAAAAAAAAAGGACCTTGCTAAATGCCTGTGCCACGAGAAAGAGACTTGTTCAATCTTGCAGAAAATACCTGACCAAGACCGGC